AGAAGTCAAAGGTCAGCCGAGACCCCACTGTGTATCACTAGGCACCTCTGGGCCTCAGCTCCCATCTCTAAAATGAAGAAGCTGGATGAGATCCCAGGTGTAACCATCTCAGACTTTAGAAACTTAAAGATGAAGAGTATAATGCTCAAATAGGTGGACAGAGTTTATGTGATACCTCCAGGTTAAGTAGAGTTTTCATTTATTTCGTTTTTTCAGAGACAGAGTCTCTGCTATGTTCATAGCTCATAGCAACCTAGAACTCCTGGGCTCAAGCGATCCTTCTGCCTCATCCTCCAGAGTAGTTGGGGCGACAGGTGGCTGGTTTTAGAGAGCTCAGGCTTTGGAGGGAAAGGTTGTTACATTTAGGGCACCAGACATGCCTGGCTAATCTAAAAAGATTTTTTTGTAGAGACAGGGTCTCACTATGTTGCTCAGGCTGGTCTTGAACTCCCCATCTCAAGTGATCCTCCCACCGTGGCCTCCCAAAGTGCTGGGATTACAGGTGTCAACCCCTACAACCGGCCAGAAGTCTTTATAAAGTATGGAGTGGGCTTGTCCTTGAAATCACTGTTGAAAGACGGTGAAAAAATAAGAAAACCACAACTAAGGATTTAAATATCTCAGCTTTCATTTTTCATTAAAAAATAATTTAGAAGTAAATGGGTGAGTTTCAAAGGTTTTGGTAGACAGCTGTGGCTATCTGCTCCCCAGTTCAGGATGCAGGTGTAACTATGGCTACTTCCCTTCATGGCACTGAAATGGTATGTGTTCAGGTGTGAGGAGCTCAGACTTTGGAGGGAAAGCTACTATACTCATATTTAGGGCATCAATGAGCTATCACTTATGGTGAGTTTCTGTACCAATCCTAATAATAACCAAATCCATTTTCTAAGCACTATTAAAAATGTTGTCACCTGTATTATCTCATTTGAGTTACTGTGACACCTCTGAGAGGTGGGTTAAAAATACCACGTGTTAACCCTGTCTTACAAACCTCCCAGCCAAACCCCAAATGTAGAAGTGAATTGCTTTCAGGTCTCACAGCCCAGGAGAGATAGAGCTGGGGTGCTAAGTTAGGGCTAGCTGGCTTTAAATTCTGCACTTGATCCAGAGCGATTTGTTTTAGTGGACTGAGAGTAAACCAACGGTTCTCAACCTGTGGGTTGCGACCTCCTTGGGGGTCGAACGACCCTTTCACAGGGGTGGCCTAAATATATCCTGCATATCAGATACGATTCATAACAGCAGCAAAATTACAGTTATGAAGTAGCAACAAAAATAATTTTATGGTTAGGGGTCACCATGACATGAGGAATTGCATTAAAGGGTCATGGCATTAGGAAGGTTGAGAACCACTGGAGTAAACTGTGCACTAAAGGAAAAAAAAACCCTTGCAGGTAAGGTACATGTAGAACTTTACTCTGGTTAAGTTCAATATTTTGTCAGCACATCCCAGTGATAAATGTTCCAAGTCTGGCTGGAAAATGTGAGTTTTCACTTATTTTATTTATCTATTATTGATGTTGACAACTTTGGACTTTCTAGAACTAAGGGGCTCCAAAATCTTGATGAATCCAATAGCTTATTTTTATAGCTACCCATCAAGAGAGAGAGATTTGGGTTGCAGGGTCCATCCTTAAAAGTCTAAAATTGAGGGAACAGTTCTATTCCTAGCCATCAGCCCCTAGGAAACAATCTGAAAGCTAAAAGATGGTCACCCACAGTGTGACAGGAATTGTGCCTAACTGCCCAACTACACTGGAGTAAATAAATATATTTTTATACATTGGTATTATGAAGTGTTACGATTTTTGATGGCAGCCAGTTTCAGAAATTTTTAATAACACAGAAGATGCTTACAAAGTGGCAATGAATCGGCTCGGCGCCTATAGCTCAACGGGCTAAGGCGCCAGCCACG